ACATCCTGGCTTGTACCAGTGCATCAGTTTCCCATCGAACGAATGAACGAATCGTAGAGGGATCGGTTTTCGCACTGGCGGAATCGAGCCGTCCTTCTTCGCCGTGAGAGGAGCGCTTGCCTGAAGTCGTTTCACCCTCTTTTGTGTGAGAATTAATTTTTTCTGTCGAAGCCATGCGAATGTTTTTGCTGGAAACTTCAGCTTCACTGAGTTCCGTTCTCTTAGATGGACAACAATCAAGAGGGCGAGAATGAGAATCGCGATGAAATGGATTTGAGCGAGGACGACACGGAATCCGAGGACACCCAGAGCAGCGATTCCGGCGAACGCAGACCTTTCGACATTGCAGTCGCCGCAACGCATCAGTATTTACAACTAAACGGTAAACTCTCAGCCGACACTTAGAGTTTTTCAGGATATGCTTGACGAGTTTGTCCAGAAGATCGGTGAAATTGGGGGGACCAGGAAGTCGACGGAACCTTCAGATGGGCTAGCAGCAAAAGTAATGCGAGCAATGGGGTGAGCCGATGGAGAAGTGCGGCCTCGAGTAATGGTGAGACTGAACAATGGGACTTTCCTCCGCGTAGTACTTTACTGACAGGAATAAGGAATACTTGCTGATGAAAATGACCACAAAAATCGATAGAAAGGCTATTACAGCAGAAAACAGTACAAAACCAATCACTTTTTGGCGCAGAAGTAAGGAAAAGAAGGAAATCTAATGATTCTGTAAAAATGGCAGGCAAAAGATGGACGAAACGAATGCTGGAGGAGCGATGGAAAAGTTGTCGGGGCGTTGAGACTTCGCTTTAACTCGGATTTCTGGAGCAGTTTAGATGTGGAAATGCACAAGACTGTACAGAGTGTGGAAGTTACCCCTGGACACATGGAAATTTAAGCCCTGAAGCAGCAGATGTTCCAGGAGCTGGAAGTTGAAATTTTGATCAATGCATGACACGAGGCTTTGTTAGCAGTTCAGATTGATGTGCGGTAAATTTTCGTCCCACCTATTTTTGTCTTTCTGAGAAGACATCGGGCAGTTGTTGTGAAATTCTGTTTTTGCGAAGCAAAGATAGCGGGATTTCTACTGCAGTTTGCAAAAAATCGC